GAGTTGCCGCCATGTGATTGGCTGATTAGAAATTAAGTGTTAACGAGCAGTTGGACAGGTGTACCTAATAAAGTGGCCGGTGAGTGTATGAAAGTTTAATGTTTATCAGTACATTACAGAAAATAATGAACTTTATCACAATATGCTATTTTTTTTAGAAGAACCTGTATTTGATAGGTATAATCATGTGGAGCATCAGGATATGGTGATTTCAGCTGTAGCAGAACTTTATTATACAGTATCTGTCACTGCTGCTCTCTGTTGAACAAACGAGGAATGACTTCTTATTATAGGTTGTAGTTCCAGACTCCGTACAGCGGGGGGCGCTAACGCTCACATTAGCTGTGTAATCACAGAACGGCGGCTAAGCTAATAAGGCTAAATGTGGCTGATCAGTCGTAATTTAGTTTCAAAATAGTTGTTAATTGCAAAGAAAGTGTAACACTACTGGTGRTGGACATCGGAAGGACACATCGGAATATAATTAGTGAGTTGTGGTGAACATTTAGTCTGGGAAAAGTTTGGTTTGAGGCGGAAAATGCTCCTGGAAAATGATGATTACGATGCTAACAGCTAACTGAGCACAGCTGATTAGCGTGACGTAATTAAGGATATCTAATTTCACCTGTGACGGACTTGAGCTGAAGACAGAGACTGGACTTTCTCATCGGTTCGGTTTGAATCTCGGAGGAGGATGAAGGTGAAGATCCGTCAGTGGAATGGAGTGGCCTCCTGGTTGTGGGTTGCTAACGATGAGAGCTGCGGGATCTGCAGGATGGCTTTCAATGGCTGCTGTCCGGAGTGTGAGTACCAGAACCGGCCGAATCGGGCTGTTTCTGCGGTTCTGGAGATTGTCAAAATGGTATCAAGGCCCAGCATCTCAGCCTTGAGTTTTATGTCTCAGAAACAGCCTGAAGATCATTTTGACCAGCTAATGAACACTACCAGTCTGTTTGTTTACCTCTGAACACAGGTCAACCTGGTGAAAAAAAACAATGTAAAACTTGTTCAGCTCAGGTCGTCTGAGCTTAATTCAAAAGCTGATGTTTGTTTCTTGTTTTGCAGGTAAAGTACCTGGAGACGACTGCCCGCTGGTCTGGGGTCAGTGCTCCCACTGTTTCCACATGCACTGCATTCTGAAGTGGCTGAACTCCCAGCAGGTCCAGCAGCAGTGCCCCATGTGTCGACAGGAGTGGAAGTTCAAGGAGTGAAGCTCTTCAAGCACTTTTTGTAATTGTTTAAGTTGGAGTTACATTTTGTACTGGTTCTGTTTTAATTTGGAATAAAGCAACAGAAGAAAAAATGATTTACTTTATTAAGTGAAAAATACATAAAACAAGTAAACAGCACTATTATCAAAAAGAGAAATAAAAACTTAATTTATGATTTTACAAGCTTTTCYAACAAGAGAAATGGCATTTTCTTTGAAAATACTGCTGAAAACTTAATATAGCAAAATGCTAAAAGTACTCCCAAAGTAGAGAAAAACTAAKTGAAAACAACAAAAGCTTAGCTAAAAAGGCTAGCTTAAATTGAGCAGAATGTTAGTTTTTATCTAAAATATTAACTTTATTAGCATTAATAATTAGCATTATTAGGATAAATACTATTAATTTCAAACATGTTTAAAAAGTATTTGAAGAGATCTCCGCATAATAAAAAATTATAAAGTTACAAAAAGTCACAGCAACAAGCTGAACAATTAAAATGGCACAAAGTATAATAAAGTATTTTCTAATGTACAAAAACAGGAAAACCATTGTGTGAATGCTGACTCAGCTTTCTGTTTCTATAAATCAAACCACCTGACAGGATTCAGCAGAGTCATGCTGCTGGAGAATCCTGACTATCTTCCAACAAGAGGGGCTCTGACCCTCCAACAAGAGGGGCTCTGACCCCCCTCCCCTCCAGAGCTGGCTCCTAAACCCAGGAGCCCAGACTGATGTGGTCTCCCCGCTGCAGAGGGCTGGCTCCGGTGGGCTGCAGCAGCTTTAAGACGAGTGTGAAGCTCCAGAGACCCAGCTGGGCTCAGTCGTTGGCCTCCAGTCCGAAGAGCTCCAGCAGCTCCTTGTTGTCTGGCTCGATGAGGTCGGCCGGCTTCTCGCCGCAGTCGTTTTCCAGCTCCGGGTCGGCTCCGAGTGACAGGAGGTACCTGAAGGAGCCAGAACACGTAGAGTCAACATCCAGAATCATGTCACCATGGAAGTGGTGGGCATCACTAATCTGAAAATTAGTTCCACTAGCCCTAAAGCACTAACTCTAATATTTAGGTCCACTAATTCTAAAGCTCTAAAATAACCCAGTCAACCCATGAACATTCTTCAACAGACATGAGTCACATGTTGCTCTCTAAAGACTGATCACTGACATTCAGCTGGATTTGAGTTCACATATTGTCACCTGGTGGATCAGTGACACACATATGAACACAATGTGTGTCAGTTTTCACCCTCAGCTCTTAATAATAATGTTGATCAATAACATTTATAGACCTCAGTTAGTGCTTATAAATTTAGCAAGTGCTAATCCACTAATAATTTTTAAAGTGCGTGTGACGTCAAATTTTTGTAACACATATGAATGCATTTTTGAAAAGATGACATCGATAAAATATTGCAAAATAAATTTCACATTGCTGAGATAAACAGTTGTTGAGATATTTGCCTGAACAGTAACAGGAAGTGATGTCATAGGGGAATGTCTGCATGTGAACAGAGCAGTGCTACAACAGCTGATAACCCAGACTGTAGAGAAGAGTCTGATGTTTCTTTACATTATTTTGAGTTTATCAGAGAGATGAAAAATCAGAGTTCAAATGATATTGTTTCATTAAACAAAGACCAGAGAGTTTTCTTTTTTAAAAAATCTCCTATGATGTCACTTCCTGTTTCACTTCGGCTGAGCCAGGTTCAATAGAAAATATCCACTGGACCTCGGTAGCCATCACTCCCTGACTCGTGCTCTGTCTCATGTCAGGAGCAGCTGATGCGTACCGTGCGATGTGGGGGAACCTGTCGCTGCAGGCCATGTGCAGCGGGGTCCAGCCCTCCTCGTCTCTCTGGTGGATGTCGGCGCCGTAGTGCACCAGCAGCTTCACACAGTCCAGGTTCCCAGACAGGACGGCCTCGTGGATGGCTGCCATGCCTTGTTCATAGACAGAAAGACTGTCAGTGATTTTTAGAAGAAACCAGGCGAAGCAGGCTCAGTGAGCGTTCTTACCCGAGGTGTAGATGGTGTCCAGCTCCACCCTCCTGGTCCGCATGAAGCGTCCGATCCTCTCCAGCTCGCCGTGTTTCACGTAGTCCTGGAAAACGATGTCGTTGGGGAAGTGGACGCTCCGGACCGGCTTCAGTGAGGCGGCCCTCCTGCAGGTGAGGGGAACCTGGCAGTCCTGGCTGTAAGCCTGGATGCTGATGGACTGGGACACCGAGGACTTGTAGTACTTCATCTTCTCAGTATGGCTSTTCTGTGAGAATCAGCTGCTCCTTTGACTCTCCGACCCGCCCCTGAGGGTKTTTTATACTCAGCCGGCCTATTTTAGGATCCCACTGGTCCAATGACAAGTCTCAGAAGAGGAGTAGGCCGGAGTCCACCCACTGACCATGAGGCTGTGGGTGGGCAGCTCACCTTTCCAYACATAACATTCAGTGACCTCGTAAATATGAGTCAACAACTAGATGTTGTCCACTTGTTGGGGGCTTCTGGTAAACAGGCAGGATGGACGTGCTTTACAGACGACTTCACAGTTACCAGAACAGAGTCATCCTGTAAAAAAAGGAGGCTGATTCTTTCCAAATTATGCAGTTGCATCATCATCTGTAGTGAAGGAAATCAGGATTTAAAATAGGATAATTTATCATTTTTGGGGTTAATTTGTATTAAATGKTTAAATCCACCCACTTATGAGCTGAACGTTCAAATAAACCATCTCTTTTCCCCATATTCATGTAAAACCCTAAGATTTGTTTTTACACCATAAAGTTTAAATTGATTTTTTTAGGTTTACTCAATGTGATGATACGTTAGCATTTAAACAAAAAATAAACGAAAAACTGCAAATTATTCATAAAATCCTGCAGTTTAACCCTGTTAGTTTTTGAGGAACAGCAATATTGTTCTTGTGTCAGTTTGACCTGGGGAATGTTTAATTATGCAATAACGTTAGAAACCAAAAAAGATCACCCAAAACATTGTTGTGTCTGATTATTGACTCCGTATTTGCATGTCGTTTTTATATTTCTCACTGATAAAGGATCAATAAGGACAATTTACTCATTTTTCATAAAAAATTCACATTTCATTTTTTATATCCACTAAAGGAACCTACAAACACAAAAACAACAGTTATATGTGAAATAGTTTATTTTTTCGTTTTGATCTATGTAATCTGTAGATGTAGGGGAGGTTGCAAATATGTTAAATGAACCATTTTCATTTTATATGTTCATTTTACTTGTTAAAACAACTGGAAAAAAGTTTCYTACAGAAAAAATACTTAGAACCATTTTTAAATTTTGACACGGGTCAATATGAGGGTTAAACTGTGCTGGATTGAGATTTTCCTTAGAGGTGGTTTCTGGGGTGGCCAGGCTCTGGGGAGGGAGCCACCCCAGCCACCCCTCTGGCTCCGCCCATGGCATCAGTCTGTGACCTGTCACATTGAAATGAGGATTGAMTCTAAAAGTGGTACATGGAGAAATAGGCAAATATAGTTTTGATTAAAACATGCAAAAATTGCATTTTGTCAAAACGTAATGAATAAATTCCTTATCAATGTATCATTTGAATAAACTGTCTGAAACATAATCAGGGCTATAAAACAAAATATTGAAGCACTCTTGAGCAGTAGCAAGAAAAAACTGATTCTGAGCAAAAATGKCTTAAAAGTTTGAGATTTTCCCCGTGAGCTAGAAATTGTTTTTCCAGCTGGGAAATCAATATTCAAATACTATTTGAAGTTTCCTCTTTGACATCAAAAACTCCTCATTAAAATTACATAAAATTAGGATTCAGACCAAATATTAAAGTATTATTGTAAACAAGACAAATTAAGTCGTATCTGGATCCACTTCTACCAGAATGACCTATAGGAGTAATTTGCAGGGGGGTTAGGGCCCTACAATCATTTGATCCTGTCAATACCCCCCCTCCCCCCAATAAAATGATTGGCTAGATTGTTAATATATGAAACTATATAATRGGTTTCCATATAATTTTGTTGTTCAAGAAATGTTTTAACTGAAGATCATTGAATTTATACTAGAGGGAAAAGGGGCAGATGTAAGATTTTTTCTTCTGCCACCTTTCATTTAATTTTATTTGTATTTTCTTTTATTGTACATAAAATTAAGATAACATATTAGAAAAACAGATTATGTAGGAATATATTTTTTAGTTACTGGGCTCATTTTTACACAAATCAGCTTCTGCAAAAACAATTTTCCTTCTTGTTCTGCTCATTCTGACCAGGATGCATTGAAAATTTTCTCCTCAAAATAAATGAAACTTAAAATATGTAGCTGTCAATTTGTTCTTTCCATTAGCTTACATTTCACACAAACATTAAAAAAAAAAAAAACACCAAAACAAGATGTTTTTTTCTGTTTTTATTGGCCACCAATTTAGATTTTCCACATTAATTTCAACAATGATGGAATGTTAGTTTCTCCCCCACCACTGATAAACACCCTACTCTGCTCACAGCACCCCTCGTTCACACACACACACACACACACACACACACACACTAAGGGTGCTGTGAAGAGCCAAAAGGGATGGTGAGGGGTGGGGCTGTGCAACTGTTCCCTCCACTCTTCTCAGACTGAACCTGTCTGCTTCAGTAAACCAGTGAATCTCCCATTAGGCATGAACGCAGTGCGACCCGTCAGAACTGGCTGCAGACACCAACCGGGTCCGAGAATGTGTCCGGAGGGAGGGGGGGGGTTAAATCTGCCCCAACAACTGGGCACAAATACAAACAAAGAGGGTAAAGCTGCGATTGAACAAAAACCTTACTGCAACAGCAATTAAATAAAAACGAGTCAGTAGCTGAACCGTTTGGGAATGAGGATATAAAAGTAAATGGKCCCCCCCCCCCGATAAAAAAAAGTAACTGGTCTGTCTAGATAAATGTAGGGAGGACACTCTTTGTGCTACGATGAGTAAACAGGTTTATCTGAACAAAGACACGCTTTAAAAGAATGGCCCCACGTCCCCTGAGATCGGTCCTTAAAAACCAAACACTGGTCCATTTGTTTTGTTTAAGAGGGAGAAGAACACTGGCAGACCCCCGCCCCCCTTACAGAATAAAAGGTGAGTAAATGTGGAAATTTAACTTCAAAACAAGATGACTTTTTTAATATTTGGTCTAGTGTTGAAYGCAAACAGCTGATATGGAGCCTCGAGGACGAGGCGTTGGTTCCCCGCAGATGGGGTGCGCTGTTCCAAATGTCTCCCACCCCCCAGGAGGGACAAGACCAGTCTGACCAGAAACACAGGATGAGGATGTAGCTGGTGGAGAAACACCTGAGCCAGCCACCGATGGAGCGAGCAGCTGGTTCAGGTTAAAGAAAGGTTAATGTTCACGGGACAGGGAGGGGTCACGAGCTCAAGATGGTGGTTGAAAAGGTTGTAGGGGGGTGGGGGGGTCTCCTCTCCCTCTTCTCTCCTGAAGCTTTTTACAACTCGTCGTGTCCATCGTCTCCATCGTCGTCGCTGCCGTCCTCAGCGTCTGACTCCAGGTCTTCCAAATCCTGAGGAACAGAAACCCGTCAGAACTGGACCCGAAAGAGGAGCGAGACGTTCAAAATGAGCCGAACGTTAAATTTACTTTAATAAAAACATTTCAGGACTAAACCATAACTCATCGCAAACGGTCARGTGTTAGGGCTTTTATTTTAACAGGTTGCCTTAAAAAAATAATAAAATTTTTGTTGTGAAACTTCTGMGACGATAACGTTTTTCAGAGAAGTGTCACTGAATTCTCCAGCTGTGGAGGAAGACGAGGATCTTAAATAATACGGTTAGCATGAATGCTAATATTAAAGTGCCTGTGACAATTTTTTTTAACAAACATGAATACATTTTTGGAAAGATCACATCAATAACATACTGCAAAACAAATTTCCCGTTGCTCAGATGAACAGTTGTTGAGATATTTACATGTGAAGAAACAGGAAGTGATGTCAAAGAGGAATGTTTGAATGTAAACAGAGTTGTTGCAAAAGCTAACAGACTGTAGAGAAGAATCTGATGTTTTTTTAGATTTTTGGTCACTATCAGAGAGACGAAAAAAGTTAGTTTGTTTTAATAAACAAAAACCAGAGAGTTTATTTTATTAGAGTTCCCCTTTGATGTCACTTCCTGTTTCACTTTGGATGAGAAATTTAAAAGAAAGTAGGCCAGTTATGTGACAAAATGGGTAAAATCATGTGTATTGTGCCAAATTTATTGAGTATAAAGATACTTTCTTTACTTTTTTGTATTTAAAGATAGGCATGTCACAGGAACTTAAAGAGGCAACAGGTTAGGTGGCAATAAGGAAACARGTCCTCAGGTCTCAGCACAATAAAATAAGATGGCAGCAGAACAACATGTTATTGAATCATCTGTAGTTTCCCAGCATCCTGCAGCTCGAGTGTCGACACAATAAACCAGTCTCATCTAGAGCTGCTGCCTCATGAACAAGGACAGCTGTCAGCACTGGGCTCACAGGCTCCAAATTCAGCTCTGAATTCACAGAAACTGCATGTATTTAGACACCTGAGACCACCTCACACTCCTCAAGCTGCAGCTCAAATCTTTGAACGTGCCGAGTTCTGCTTTCATCAGGAGGCTCTCGTCTCTGCAGTGAAGCTCAGTAAACAGCTGCGACAGCTGCAGGGAGGATTAGAGACCTGCAGCTGGCTGAGCTGCATTTAGACTGGAGGAGTGTGAAGGTGTTGGAGGAAGCCCTCCATGCTGATGTTTACACTGTTTCAGTGTTGGACACAGGAAGGTCCAGTTCAGTTAATTTCTCAAATTAAACATGAAGAGAAAAAAGTGAAATCTGCAGGTCTTCAGACTCACCTCTGCTTCCCCCTCTTCGTCTCCTGCAGGGGCACCGCCCTCTTTACCTCCACTCTCCAGGAATTTGGTGAATCCTTCCAGCGTCCTCTCCCCGTTATAATCGATCACCTGTTCACAAGGAATTAAAACCTCAGTTTTTGAAATTTAAGTCTTTTACCTCCATAGACTCTGGAGACAATCAGTGCTGAGAGCAGAAAATAAAATATGATCTCGTGGCATCTGTTGGTGCCGAATGAGATTCTATCWGACTCAATGTTAGCTCAACAGTTGAGTTTTTATCTTTTGTAACAGAATAATTTCCCTTTTGTCTCATCTCTGAGCTCTTACAGACCCACCAACTTGGCATTTTACCAGCTGCATCTTAGCTAAAAGCTAACAGGAGTTGTGAAGCGCTCACCTTGTGCTCCTCTCCTGCAGGGAAGAACTTCAGCGTGGGGAAGCTGTGGACCTTGACCGACTCGATCTCGTTGGCTGTGGAGTCCATCTTGGCCACGATGACGTCGGAGCTGTCCTTGTATTTTTCTCCCAGCTGCTCCCAGATGGGGGTCAGCTGTTTGCAGTGTCCACACCAAGGTGCATCTGGAACATAAAGAAACAAAGAGTTAGAAAACTCTAAGTCACGTGTGCTTCAGCTTCACGGTTTAGTGTGAATGTTTAGGAATCTGTCAGGCCTTCCTGTCGTGCATGACTGGCTGCGTTCAGCCAGCCGGACACGGAAAATCCCTCCAAATATAGAGTCCATTGGGACCTGGATGGTTATAAATTAATCCTGCTGCTATATTTAACTTCATCTTTCTGGTATCAGTGTCTGGTAGCACGTTAAACTGCAGTGGGGGGGGGGGGGGGGGGGGGAATCAGCAGGCATGGGAATCAACTCTGAAGAGTTTAAAAAAAAAAGGAGCTCAGATTTGAGTTCCAGACTGAAGTCCTCCTCGTCCACCTTCAAGAGCTGAGCTTCACTAAAACTAATAAATTTAACTTGAGTTGTAAAACTTACAAAATTCCACAAAGACGTTCTTTGAAGGGTTGAAGGCGACCTCCTCGAAGTTCTTGCCCACCAGAACCTTTACGGGGTTCTTGTCCCAGTCTTCTGGGATGTCCTGGCTCATGAGGTGTGGCTGCAGGACAAATTAAGACAAAGCACATTAAAGCAGGGTTGGTGGTTCACGTCCAGTAACACAGAGCTCAGTGTTAAAGTGCCTGTGACATGTAGGTCCAAACAGGAAGTGACATCAAAGGGGAACTCCCTGGTTTGTTTATTGAAACCTTATTTGAACTATGACTTCTCTATGACTGATTAAAATAATCTAATCAGATTCTCCTCTACAGTCTGTTAGCCATTTTAGCATTGCTGTTTACATTCAGACATTGCCCTCTGACATCACTTCCTGTTTCTTCACATGAATATCTCAGCCGTTCTCAGCGGTGTGAAATTTTATAGCTGTGTTTCCATTACAAATGTGCACAAAACTTTGTCGATATTCTGTTAATGTCGAAAAAAGTTTCACAACTGCAGTGTTTCCATTAAGTAAGAAATGTTATTAAAGTCACGTGAATACGTTTGTTCTCATGATGAGTCATTACAAACATGGCAGCGATGGATGTAAACACATAGCATGTTGCTACCACGACACTAGCGCTCATCATCAGAGGAGACGTCGGCGTCTTTTATCGAGGCTTTCCAGAGACAAGTCCCTACTTGGGAGCGGCTACGTATGCTGTGTTTTTGGGAAATTGTAGTCGGTGAGTTTACTATTTTATACTACTTCTGTGATATTACTACTTCCTGTTATTTTCTTCATCATTGTCTTTTTCACCAGTAGAAACAGACGGTTGTTGATCACGTGACTCCTGTGATGTGAACAATGTGTTTCCATTGCAGTTTCGCAAAAAACACCAATTTCGATACGGCCGAAAAACCACTTCATCCTAGCGCAAAAACATTGTCAAACTTATTTTTTTTTAATTGACGTGTTTCCATTGAGCAAATTTATTTTTAAAATTCCAATTTGCGTATTTTAATGGTCAATGGAAACACAGCTCGTTATCAATCTCATCTTTCCCAAAAAAAACAAAACAAAAACAAAACTTTCATTTTAATTATAAAGGTTTGATGTCACAGGCACTTTAATGCCAGCATCGCTCTGCWCCTACCTTCAGTTTCCCCTCGATGAACAGCTTGCAGAACTCCGTGATGCTCTCGGCCGTGATGGCGCTGCTCTCTGGCTTGTACTTGGTCATCTCGTCCTCCAGGGTGATGAGGCGGATGGCGGGACACTCCTCTTTCTTCAGGCCGAAGAACTCCAGGATGCGCTGGTTGTCGTCGATGTCGCTGTCGATGAAGATGAACAGGATCTGAAAAATAAATTAAATKAAGTCAGTTTTCATCCAACAGCAGAGTTGGAACAGCTCAGAGCGACTGTACAAAGATCAGCAGCAGGTAACTCTTCACGTACCTGACCCTTGAAGCCTTCGGCTGCTTTTTTAAACTGGTCCATTTTGTCCTGGAAGTCTGAAGCAGTTTTAGGCAGAAACATCAGGATGTGGGATTTGATGTCTCCTCCGAAGATTTTAGGAGCAGTCTATTTAAAAAACAAAAACCAGCAGTGAACCCAACTGATCAGAAAACCAGGTGCTCTGTTGCCCCGCCCCCTCCTTACCTGCTCTGTAAACTCGATGACCAGAGGCAGCTGGTTGGACTTCACAAACGCCAGGAGCTTCTCCTTGGTCAGCTCTCCATCGAAGGTGTTGCGGCCTTCGTCAAACTGCCAACAGACAGAAATATTATCCACCTGCTGCCGCCGCTGCTCTGCTTGTGAACACCACCTACATTTACCGGACAAACCACTTTAAACTCTCCGGAGCAAAGCTGCTTTTATTAGGCATCAATAACAGCAGGAGCCACATCTCTGCCAAGCTCTTTTCTGGGACACACAATAAAGACGAGCCCCTTCTGAGCTCTGAAACTCAACACTTAATCTCAGCTGCAGTAAACAAGTCAGAAACCTGCTGTCTATTGTAACATAGCCCCCCTGCTTTCAGTGGGTTGGCTTATCTGTAGCCCACATGTTGGTGGTGTTTACAGAGTCAAGTTACCAGCAGGAATCTGCAGGAAGGAGCCATCAGCTCTGAAGGATGACACATCTGCAGCTGCTTCACTGTGAGGAGATGAGACCTGTGAGAAACTCAAACTTCTCTACAGAAAACAAAGCTGAAACTGCAGCTTWGTCACATTTTACAGCTGGAAGGTGACGTTCAAACACGCTCACACTCGATGACTTCACCTCTACAAGCAACACGATGGACTTTGACCCAGTTTGACAAATCACACCGACAGTTCTGATAAAGCTAGACACGTTTCAAAGCAAGTTCAGGAAACCTAAAAACCACAAGAACCACTTATCTCAGCGAGCAAAACCTCAGTAGAGCGTTAGCATAGRGTCAAACTAAAATTTAGATTTATTTTTTCCCGCTTAAGTGGTACGGCTGGGTATCAATTCAGATTTCCCAAATCGATTTGATTTTTAAACTAGTTAAGGATATCAAGCAGTAACACGTTTACTTTGATATGTAAGGCATTCTCAAACTAATTCTGCAAATACAAACTAATTCTAACTTGGTTTGTTGGTAAAATTATAAACATTAAGGGCAAACTTTTAAATTGGAGTTTAATCTTGAAACAAAACCATTTCAAGTTTCAAAGGGTTTAAACTAAAAAGGAATTGTTGGATAGTTTCTTTAAGAAACTAAGAATAATTTTCTTGATTATTAAGAAGTGATGGAATAAGGTTAGAGGAGAAGAGGTGGGATAATATAAATGTATACTTCTGCCCACTCTTTTGAGTGTATGAAAATTGTATATTTGTAATGTTTGTTAGCTTCTAGTTCAATAAAACTTAAGGAAAAAAAAAACTTCAGCTAAAACATTCCATCACTGAATTACATTAAGATGTTTCATAAATTTATAACTAAACAGTTTTGTTAATTTCTACATGCTGAGAACAGTTTCAGATGTACATACAGTAGTTTTGGTTCGAGCCACTTGAAGCTGTATTTCCTGCTACCGCCTCRGAGCTCAAATCTTTGCAAACAGAAGTTGTCCTGGTTTCTGTTTTCTTTAAGTTCAGCTGAGAATCAGCTGTAATGTTGGTGATTCTTAGTTTCTTTTGTTTTCATCCAGACAACTTGTTGTCGAGAGCCAACGTTAGCACAGACCGTCAACCAGCTGTAAACCTACGGCAAGCCAGGAGTGACACAACATGGAAACGTGCAGTTTCATTGCACAAAACAACCGTTTGGTGGGGGGGGGTTGATTTGTTTCCAACTTAATGGAGTGCCTCTGTTTCAGAAACAAAGTTGTTGTACTCCTGTTTTTTTGTAGCGAGAGTCTTCAAACAGATTTAGCAGTGAGGTGTTTGTTGCTCCAAGTCTCAGGTTGTGTATCTAACCAGTTCCAGAAAACTGAAGACACACTGCCTGTTTTGGAAGCAGATCCTCTCTGCTAGCTGCCATATTGTCATGTCGTGTACCAAATGTCTTGAGCAACAGGTGGGGTGACCTCTGAACTACAGAAGCCCCAAAGAGTGCACTGGTCGTGGTGGGGGGATCTTTATTTTCCTAAAATCAAATTTGAATTAACTTATTAAATCAGTTTATGACTCAACCCTACAAAGAGGCAAAGTGAGCCAAGTGTGCCGACGTGAGGAGAATCAGCTGAGTTTTAAGAATCTTTGCAGCCATCTGAAACCATCGCCACCCCTGCTGGGTCATCTTGAACATGACCTGCTCCAATAAATCTTTATGGTATTTSAAAGGTTTAGAATTTTCATCTGTAAAGAGTATTCAGCTTCATCATCATCTTCCTCTGCTCTTAGCCAACAGGAGCTACATGAAAAAAGCAGACCACAACCTGATCCAGCCAGTTTCCTCAGCACCTGTAGGTCCACGCACCCGAGTCATTCACAGGTCAGATTAAGCTGCAGAACCAGAGGCCAACAAATGTTTAAAACACAGAGTGACATCAGATGAGCCAAGTTTAGAAACTGACAGGAGAGCACAAGGTCTGCAGCGTCAGGTTGCAGAAGGTGTGGATCAAAAACACAGCAGGGAGCCTTCAGCAGCACGTTGTCATGAGAAATAACAAATAACCCTTTGATATTTTACTAACAGAGCATCTTTAAAGAAATGATGATAGTCATGAGTTAAAATATAAAAAGACCTTCTTAAAGAGGATGATGCRGTCCTTGGACACTTCAAACTTGGAGTAAACGTCGTCACTGGAGGTCATGGCGAAGGGGATGTCATCCACAGCTTCAGCTGCTTTTTCTAAAGCTTTGGCTCCTTCAGACTCTGCATCCTGAACAAAAAAAAATAAAAATAAAAATAAAATAAAAAAAACAGTTCAGCACAACTCGAAGCAGTAAGCTGCTGCTTCTTCTAAGCAGTAAACAGAGGGACTTGTACCTTGAAGAACCCGATGACCGCCACCTCGTTGTCGGCTATCAGAGCCTCCGCCTGGGTGACCTCGCTCAGGGTGGTGACGGCGGGCCCGGTTCGCTTCTTCAGCCAGTTGACGATGTCATCTGCCTGCCTGCCAGCTGCACACAAACAGAACACAATAGGCATCAAACCTCAGCTGATGCTCAGTGATGTGAAAGATTTAATTCTTTTAACCTCTTAAGCCCCAGGGGTTTTTCTTRAAGTCTTTTCTCTAAATACCATGCCGACATGTAATTTAGTTTCTCAGCTTTATTTAAAGATAATTTAAGTAGAGCTTGTAAAAGCTAACACTTTGGAGCTTTCATTAGAAGTGTACGTATTAATTTAAAACAGCTGCTGTGGTTTTCGACATATTGAGGATGGAACATAGTTTTTTTTCACTCACATGAATAATGTTTTCATTAAACAGTATATAACCCATTTAAAACCATAATGAATCAGACTAAAATCTATTGGAAACCATAAATCCACTTGTGGACATCACCTGTGCAAAGATTCATGCTACTAAAATTAACTGGAGCAAAGTTTCAGAGGTTTTAGTAAAGAAATAATTTTATATTTTGTCATTCTGCACAGGACAGAKCATGATGGTTCTGCAGATATCTGATCTATAATTGCAGAAGTTATTTATTTTTTCTTACCTGCCTGAAAAGACTTGTTATTGAATGTTTGTTCTTTTGAAAAATTATCCAAACATTTATTTGTCACCATATATATTATATAAAATAATGAGAAATTATATTTGATTTCCGTTGGATCAAATTCACTCAAAATCAAGTGTAAAAAATAACRAATACATTTTATAACATTTAGGCATCTACTTTGACTTACTTTTTAAAAGTATTTTTTTTCCTTTACAGCTTTGCAACAATCCCATTTTGTACAGTTTTACTCTATGATTCAACTGCTTGATGTTTAAACTGTTTGGTGAATGTAAAAATAGTTTCTATGAGTTTTTAGTTTTCTATTGATACCAAACATGTCCAGGTTCAACTGACAGATCTTAAGTCAAGAATTTAAAAGTAAATCTTGTACATGCATGCTCACAACTGCTCACAACTGCTCACAACTGCACACAACTGCACACAACTGCACACAACTGCACACAACTGCACACAACTGCACACAACTGCACACAACTGCACACAAACAAGGATTAAATCCTGGGTTTTCTAGTTGGTCACTGATTGAAGTCTTGTGTTTTCTCGATGTATATTTCACATATCTAATATTTCACTCTCTCCCATTACATTTCACTTTTTGCTTCTTTAAAAAAGTCACTGATGAAGAAGAACAAATAAACTAATAATCAGTTCTGCTTTCTAATGATGTGACTTAAAAAAAGAATTTAAAGAAAAAAAAAAGAGTTGTTTTGCATGGGGCTCAAGTGGTTAAGAAGAGGGGAAAGAAGATTACTTTTAGAAACTCCTCCAATCATTTTGCCTCGTTAATTCAACTCTTGCACTGAGGCATTAACCRCCAAATCCTTACTTTGTTGTATCAAAGATGAAGAATAAATCAAAGCCAATAAAACCTTGTTTCTGTCTTTGAAGCGAGGCCTGACTGATGAGTTGAACAGGTGATGCAACACTGTGGAAATCTCATCAATGAAGCACACGAGGCGGTGCGGGACGCAGTCGTGGCCTCGGGCAGCATGCAGGAGGAGGCTGCTTCTAGAAGCTGGATTTAACCCCCGACTAGTCATTTCCACAAAACCCACTTCCAAACCTGCTCCACCTCCCTTCACACACAGTCAGGCTCAGGCCAGAGTGGAGACGTGAAGAAATGCACATCCGTCTGTCCCGACTCAGCTTCCACGTGAGGGGAACGTGCCGAGGAGGCCACACCCACTTTCTGCCTAGTAGGTGTTGTTGAAAGCCGATTGGCTGGCTCGTTTTTATTTTTTGCTGCTGTGCAGATCAGATTACCATCATGAAGAGACTCGGGGGGCATCCACAATACAGTTTATAGAATGTGTTTAGAGAACTACAGTCTTTGAGAGCAGTTACAGATTACAGCCCTTTAAACTTTAAAACATGCATTAACCAGAATCTTACTTTGGTTTTATCAGTAATGTTCCTGATCGAAGGTTGTTTGATGCAAACATGTCGCTCGCTCACCAGAATACTCTTTGGGAGACTCTTTATCTCCGCCCTTGAAGAACTTGATGGTGGGATATCCTCGGACGCCGTACTCCTGCGCCAGCTCCGTCTCCTCGGTGGCGTCCACTTTGCCCAGGCGGATGTCCGAACTCTGGGCCTTCAGCAAGCCGGCGGCCTTGGCGTACTCCGGAGCCAGGGCCTTGCAGTGGCCACACCATGGTGCATCTGTGGAGCAGAATCAGAGGTTCACATCTGCTCAAAATGAGAAAACCGATCATAGATACTTTCATGTGGATTTAAAAATGAYAAATAATAGAAGCAGTGGTATTTAATCTGTTATTAAACATATTCATAAAAYCCTGAAATTTAAAAGAGTAGAAGAGCAAATATTAAAGTTAAAGCTTTCACTAGATCTAGAAAAGAAAGTCCGACTCTTTTGCAACGCTTTATTCCTGAGCGTTTGATCACGCACCAAATCAGAAGTGACACGTCAAATAAAGTGACCAGCATTGCATCACCTAGATAAAGGACTAAAACGTCCTTGTTCAAGTCCTGTCCATGTAAACGTGCGGGAACTTTTGTAAAACTTAAGTACACGTCAACCCAGCTCCAACCTCCAGCCCAGAACACGCCCAGCTGACACAGCCAGGCTTCCGCCCCCTCCATGGAGCTTCTCCCTTCACATGGACGCTGTTGATTGGTCCAGACAGCTGTCACTCAACTATGTGGGCGGGGAAAATCTGACAAAAAGAGTAGTGGGATGGACTCCACAAAGTACTCTTAAAGTATTTAATAAAACCCATACCCCGCGGCTTTAAAATACAAAATATAACCTGAAATAATCACATAAAAACCTACAGGAAACACTGCTCGTCTGGTGTGAACACAAAAGTGAAAGTTAAGTGACAGAAACCGCAGGAGGCAATCGAAACTTCTCGTTACAGATTAGCTAAAAACGCAGATCGTTCCCAAAATTACCCTGAGAACGAAATTCTTCACAACACCCCGGAGATTTTCATCACTCCTACATCGCARTGGCTAAAACGAAGCTAACTTTTTMSTGCTAGCTAACCGAATGTAGCGCAAAACAGTTCAAAAGAAGCAGCAAGCTCACTCTTAAATTATTTTGTTTGTTCATATAAGGAATAAAAAGGCCACGGAGTGCACCGARTAGTTCAGTCCTGTTAGCGGCTACCAGCAGCTGATAAAGTTGAACACAAACCCCAGAGAAAGCTAGCCTTCGCTAACACACGGCTGTACTTACAGAACTCCACCAAAATGTTGGGGTGAGCTTGAAGAGCCTCGTCGAAGTTACTTTTCTTCAGCACCAGAACATCTTCTTCTTCTACGATCTCAGCTCGGCAGGCTACAGCCAAGGTGCACAGGAGCCAAAACTTCAGCATTTTTCCGTCGAGTTTTTTCTTCCGGTCAGGGAGAGGAGGCTCAGCCGCGGAGAAGTGAGTCACTTCGTCTTTARTCGGTTACTTCCCTCTTGTTTAGSGGGTTCGGGCGAGTAGCTGGTAAATTTTGTGTCTACCGCTACTAACGTGGCAGTGCACGGAGAAACCGGAGGGGTCAGCCGCAGTGCGCATGCGCATTTATGAGGCAGCAAGCTGTTCGTGTTGAAATGTGACTGGACCGCAGCGCGCGCCACCTGGAAGTGAAACAGATGCGTCGAAACGCGCAGCAGATCTGCATTAAATCATTAAAAACACAACAAAACCGAGCCGCGCTCGGTGCTCAGCAAACATTTATTTATATTTGTARAAGGAAGCACAAATCCTGCATTAAAACACCAAACAGCACACTAAAAACGGCTGGGTTAGAAAATGGTCCAGTTTGTAACCCACCACTGGGTTCAATTAGGATTTGCCAACCCTGGTTATAGAAAACAGTTTATGGAACAAAAATATAAAATTAAATGTAAGTTACCAAAAATGTTGAGTTAAATGTGTTTTATTTGGGCGTTGGTAAAAATCTCTGAGTCATTAGAGTCCAGAGTTCATCGCCACATCAGAGGTCTGAAGTAGAAAATCAATACAACTATTATTGTTTAGTACACAAATTTTATTTTATTGTACTATCCACCGCAACTCAAACAAATCTGATGTTTCCAAAAAGCTCTGAGAGATAAATGAAAGGAAACATTCATTCATTCATTCATGTACTATCCACCGCAACTCAAACAAATCTGATGTTTCCAAAAAGCTCTGAGAGATAAATGAAAGGAAATTTATTAAAACACAAATTTGGTGCTTCATCTCATCAGTTTTATTTCACCTGTTAATTTAGATTTTTGCCAAATCATCATCAGGTTTTTGAACAACATAACAGGCTCTCAAACAGACAAGGGCTTTGAAAATGTGCCTCTCTGATGGTATGGGGTTGCATTAGTGCCTCTGTTACAAGCATCCTCCATTAAAATAACCCTTTAATCTGCTTTATCTGCCTCTAAAGACGGAGAAAAATAAATCAGATTGTCTTTCTGATGGAGACGGAGTGCAGCAGGAAGTCCAACAACAGAGAGGATGGACAGAGGACAGAGTAATTCAAATGTTTGATGACAGTTGGTGTATGGAGACGGGGAGATGAGCCTTTAATAAACCAGCTGCAGGGACCTGCAGTCCTTCAGGTGATCAGAGGACGTTTGGTCAGGATGTGACGCAGGGTTTTAATAAATTGCACTGATGTCCTGGTCAGAATGATCAAGGCCCACTCTTATTATGCAGTACATTAGAGGAAAACCAGTTGATAAAAATTCATCATTTTTTTAGACATTTTTATTGCATGTTGAATGAATCAGCTTCTGTGTTTGAAACCATCTCCAGATCAAGACTTCAGCTGATGCAAACAAGCAGAAAGTACATTTTGTGATGCCAGATTCATCCGGCCACACGCATGTTCCTGTTGTGCAGAAACAAGATCACCGTAAGAATTACTGAAGCGTTTCTGTGAGCCTTGGCTTCAATTTGCTCAGCGTGCTTTCATAAGTAAGAGTGACTCAACAGTTTTATCTTCCTGTTTGCTCCACGTCTGCTTCTTTAGAGACAAATTCATCTAACATTTCCCTTTTAGCCCATTTTCTTCATCAACTGCATTAATAATAAGTTAAAAAAAACAAACAAACAAACGAGCCAGGGAGAGTTTTTGTTTGATAAAATCATCCACTAAAACCTTAAAATAATGCAGCTGCTGTTTAAAACGCCATTAACTTTGCAATATTAGCAAAGAAAAAACAAAGAGAATTTAAGTGTGGGAATAAAAGCATCATTATAGTCACCGTGGTAACACCCGTGCCRCTCACTCCCTGACTGAAACCTTAAAAGAGGCAGAACCCCCCAAAACATCAGTATTTTATGTAGGAGGCATGACAAATTTTAAAAAGTTCACTTCCCTTGTTTGTTCTTTTGACTCCTTCAGATGTCAGAAAATATATGTATATTTCACATTTTAATTTACTTCTTACTGTCACAGAGAACTGGTTTTGTGCGTTGAATAATTTTTGCCACAGGATGGAGTAAAGAGTTAAAAARAAGGAAAAATGAAAGAAACCTCTGATGTCTGATTCTGGCACAATGGCGCCGTCTAGTGGTGAAAACATAGAAAAGCAGCCGGTTGTTTTCATCATGGTGGACAGGATGCTGCAGGTTTTTTAAATACATGTTTGACTTTCAGCTGTGGTGGGCAGCACTAATCTGAAAATTAGTTCCACTAGCCCTAAAGCACTAACTCWAATATTTAGGTCCACTAATTCTAAAGCTCTAAAATAACCCAGTCAACCCATGAACGTTCTTCAACAGACAACGAGTCACATGTTGCTCTCTAAAGACTGATCACTGACATTCAGCTGGATTTGAGTTCACATATTGTCACCTGGTGGATCAGTGACACACATATGAACACAATGTGTGWCAGTTTTCACCCTCAGCTCTTAATAATGTTGATCAATAACATTTATAGACCTCAGTTAGTGCTTATAAATTTAGCAAGTGCTAATCCACTATTAAATTTTAAAAATTAGCAAAAGCCCTAAAGCACTAATCAGGAAATTAGTTCCCCTATTAGTGCTAGGGCAGAGGTTCTGAAASTGGGGTCCRAGGACCCTCAGGGGTCCYCGAGAGGTATCTTGGGGGTCCTCAAAAAATGTCACTAAATTGTTAATTTGGTTTTTATTTTTAAAAATGCGCGGAGAACAATGAACTAATAAAACAAACATAATAAACTTAATAAAATATATATTCCCATGGCATTTAGGGGTTGAAATGACAATGAATTATCTTTTCAAACAGCATGAGGTTTATGAGGGGGTRCCTGGAATTTTTTCACCCTTGTAAGGGGTCCTCAGARCCAAATGGCTTGAGAKCCCCTGCCTTAGGGGAACTGTGCCCACCACTGCTTTTCATTAATTTACAACACAAGCTAAAAACATGGCTTCAGATTCATTTTTCTCCTGGTCGATGACATAAGAATGATCTTTTTCTCAACATAAAGATGATCTCAGTTTAAAAAGAGTTTCAAGGTTTTTATTGAATGTGAAAAATATTTACATCTTTTCTGCAGCCTGTTGTTAGACAGGAAACTAACTGGTGAGGTTTCTGTTGAAGGGACGGAGTGAACGAGAGGGAAAAATAAACATCACAGCAGGAGACGTTCTTTGTTAATCCAAAGAAAAGGTGAGTAGGTCTTCTTCTTCTTCTTCTTCTTCTTCTTCTTCTTCTTCTCCAAGAGACACCTTCAGTCTGAGGGGTTACAGGTAACAGGTAACCCAGCCTTACGTTCACTTCTCCTGGTTAATCCACCAGCACCGGCAGGTCTGAGCAGTTGTTGCCCTCCAAGCGGTTCTGACTGATCTCGGGCTGTTCACCGTTCACCTCGGTGTACTTCACCGAACCCTGCGGATGAATCAGAACCATCAGACAACAGAACAAACACGGTGACACACATTTACCGTGATGATTGTTGATTATTAGAGACATTTTCTCAGAGAAAAAACAGTCAAATGAAGCTGCAGATGTGGTGATAAAATGTGACCCTCTTTCACTTCCTGATGTCACTTCCTGTTTATTTTTTCAGCTCCTTGGCCTGGGCCGCCTTCAACACCATGTAGGGACAAACAGCAGGGCCTCCAGAGGCAGTGATTACCAGGAGACAGCATGTGGGCCGAGATGGGTTTGACTGAACCGCAGCTCTGATGTGAGCAGCTGATAGGGAAGGAAGCTTCGGCCCAAACGCCTTTGTTCATGTCTGGAAACTCTGACGGCAGCTTCCCTCCTGATCTGGATTACTAAGACCAGGAGGAGCAGACAGGACCCGACCCAGGACGGACCCGTCATCCCTCAGCTGATCATCACCAAGTGTCACGCTTTCAGCTGAATCAATCCTGTTTTCTGTCAAACTGTGATAATCACAGAAACTTAAAAACATTTCATTTGTTCAGAACCAAAGGAAATGAATCTAAAGGGAAACKTTTAGATAAAGGAGCGTTAATTCTGTTTGATACCTGTGAGAGTGAAGGGAAAACACATCAGTTTTACTCACATAGTCATGATGATCAGCAGCACCTGCAGGACGAAGCAGCAGCAGTTAAACATCAAGCAGTTTTTATTCTCTTCCTTTATAGTTTCTTACAAGTTTTAGCACATTTTAGCTTTTAGCTCTGGTTTTACAACATACAGATTTTAGCTTCATTTTTTTTCTGGGGGGGGGGGGTGTTGAGATTTTAGCCACGTAGTCTGCTCATTTTTGCGTTTAGCTACAATTTAGCATTTAGCTACTGTTCTTTACACTTAGTTTTTAGCTACATTTTTACTACATTTAGATTTTAGGTTCAGTTTAGCTAATTTAAATTTTTAGCTACAGTTTCTGTTTATTTTAGCTTTTAGCTGCAATTTGCTTGATTTGAATTTTTAGCTTTGCTGTTTTTACTTTTAGCTACAAATAAGCATTTAGCTACTGTTTGGCTACATTTAGCTACCGTTTTGCTGCACTTACATTTTAGCTACAGAAATGCAAATCTTAAAATTTAGCTATGGCTTTAGATAGCATTAGCTACAGATTAAGCTCATTTTAGCCACAGTTTAGCTGAGCTTAGCTTTTAATTATTTTTGTTAATTTTAGCTTTAGCTACTACTGTTTTTTAAATTTTAGATCTTAGCTCTGATTTTACTACCTTTGGCTTTTAGCTTCAGTTTTTGTGAATTAGATAATTAAAATTGCTTTGCTTTAAGCTACAATCAAGCATGTAGCTACTGTTTTGCTATACTTACTTTTTATCTAGTAGTTTTTGCTGTTTTTTCTAACTTTAGCTTTTAGATACAAATGTGCCAATTTTGGCTTTTTAGCTCTGATTTAACGACCATTGATTTTTYGCTTCAGTTTTATGAATTAGTGATTTTAGCTACAGTTTCTGCTAATTTACCTTTTTCGCTAACATTTGGCACTTAGCTATGGTAGTAGCTGAGAGTCATCATCATCAAATGAGCTAAACTTTAGCTGGTAGTAGCTGAGAGTCATCATCATCACCATAAAACAAGCTAAACTTCAGCTGGNTAGCTGAGAGTCATCATCATCAAATGAGCTAAACTTTAGCTGGTAGTAGCTGAGAGTCATCATCATCACCATAAAACAAGCTAAACTTCAGCTGGTAATAGCTGAGAGTCATCATCATCAAATGAGCTAAACTTCAGCTGGTAGTAGCTGAGAGTCATCATCATCAAACGAGCTAAACTTCAGCTGGTAGTAGCTGAGAGTCATCATCATCAAACGAGCTAAACTTCAGCTGGTAGTAGCTGAGAGTCATCATCATCAAACAAGCTAAACGTCAGCTGGTAGTAGCTAAGCTAAACTTCAGCTGGTAGTAGCCGAGAGTCATCACCATCACCATAAAACAAGCTAAACTTCAGCTGGTAGTAGCTGAGAGTCACCATCATCATCTAACAAGCTAAACTTCAGCTGGTAGTAGCTGAGAGTCACCATCATCATCTAACAAGCTAAACTTCAGCTGGTAGTAGCTGAGAGTCATCATCATCATCACCATAAAACAAGCTAAACTTCAGCTGGTAGTAGCTGAGAGTCATCATCATCATCAAACAAACTAAACGTCAGCTGGTAGTAGCTAAGCTAAACTTCAGCTGGTAGTAGCTGAGAGTCATCATCATCAAACAAACTAAACGTCAGCTGGTAGTAGCTAAGCTAAACTTCAGCTGGTAGTAGCTGAGAGTCATCCTCCTCAGTGAGTTTTAACTCACCATGAGCAGAGTTCTGCAGCTCGCTGTAAACCGTGTCCGTTCCTTTCCTCGGAGGAGTAGCTGAAGGCAACAAACACACAGAACATCAAACACACTTCGGCTGATATCATCTCGTTTCAAACGAACTCCTAAAAATAGGAAGAGGCCGCGTCCCACTGACGGTCAGCTGCAGACCCCCGATGGGACCCCGAGCCAAAGACCGTGAAGATGAAGGATCCAGCATCAAAACCAGCTCAGTATTTATCTCAGCCCTTCCTGTTTATGAGGACTGGAAATCCCAGCAGCCATCCATGCAGATGGAGGTGTGTTAATTACAGGTAATTAGGCCCCTCCCAGGAAGTGCTGCTGTCTTATCAGCTCTGAAGGAATGTGTCAGAGGCAGAGACCAACGGTTACCTCTGGTTGGGCCAGCCGACCGTGGATGAACCACCTCTGTGTACTCCACCTCAGGCTCGTTGGACACGGTGCTGAACTCGTCGATTTCTGCAGCAGAAAAAGAAAATAACACCTCGCACCTCGGTTGATACTTCAGATTACTGAAACATCTTTACACAGATGTGAAAGTCTCACCTGATTCAGGTTTCCTATGACTCCACACACTTTCCACAGCTCCAACCACTGGCCCTGAAACACAGAAACATCACATTTAGCAGCTTAATTGTAATAATTTTTAGAAAAATAGGATTTTATAAAAAATAGCAGCTTGAGTTAGTTATCTATGCAAACACTAAAAATTTAATCCATCAACAAAAAAGCCCATTTCTTTCACTCTGATTGGACAAACCACCTTCTAAGTCACCTGTCAAACWTAAGGCCTGTGGGCCAAATGTGGTCCACCACAGCATTTTATGTGGCCCACGAGAGCTTCAAAGATGCTTTAAAGCCATTAACTACATCTAATTCTAAAGTGTAAAACCTCCATTTCGAAGCATTTTCATTAGCTACTTTTGCTGTAGCCCAGTTGTACTGGGAAGTGGGAATTTCCCACTTACAAGTCAGAAATTTAAACTGTAATGTCCCTTCAGTGGGAATTCCCTGTTGGAAAGTGGGAGAGTTCAGAATTCAACACGGCAGCTACTCAGCACAGTTTAACAGTGAGTAGAACTCTTATTTTACTTCTAATAGTATWTCTGTTTTATTTCACAGTCAGACCTAATCTCATTATTAACTGATTCTGTCTCCAGATTAGGACTCAGCTGTCTCTTAATCTGAAACTCCAGCAACAAACGTGACAGAAAGAGAAAACCGTTTCCTCTCAGTGAGCTGCAGGAGTGAAGACTACCAGCGAGGACAACAGGACATCATTGATAATGGATCCTTGTGGACTGCAGGCTGTGGACCGAGGACTCCTGGACGTGTCTGCAGGGATTATCAGATTAATCAGTTGTTTGTTGAAGGGGCGGAGTTTACATGTTCTCCCCATGGACTTGTCTTGTTTTGTAATCTGGTTTCCTCCTACAGATCAAAATTATGCATCTTATGTGCGTCTTATTTGTCTTCATGTGTCCCTGTGATGGACTGGAGACACGGTGTCCCCAGTCTTTAWGGCTGAAACAATAGCAGCATCAAATAAACAGATGTTGCGTCTTCGACTGCGTAAACAGAATTCCTCGGCTCAAACAAACACAACGGGTCGGTAATTCGGCAGCAGCTGCACAACAAACTCTGGCAAAGACAACTTCCAGTTGGTAATATAATCTCATGTAATCTCACACTGGGCCCGACTGAGGCCGCCATGACTAATTTCCTCCCTCTGCTGCAGGCATTCAGAGAAGCCGGGCCCAAAACAAAACAAAGCCAACATGTAGGAAATACCGCTCAGACTCCACTGTTCCAACGTTTCAAGGAAGTCTCTGCTGTGCTTCTTGGTGTTCAGGAAGTGAATCGATTTCATGTTTTGTGGTTATTCTCCTCTCAGATTTGAACTGATTGTGGAAAACAGCAAAACACGAATCAAACAATRATAAACAAATTGGAAATGTTAGGGTGTAAATAAGTAAACAAAAACAGAAAGCAATGATTTGCACATCGTAGAAACCCATTTTTTATTCTTGAAAAACGGTACACTATAAAAAAGCACAGTTTTTCAGAAACAATAAAGTTATTTTGAATTTTACGGCAGCAATATATCTAAAAGAAATTGCTTCAGGAGCAACAAATAGCTGTAAAACCTAGCAGTGCTAATAAAAAACAGCCGAAGGACCAAGTTAGTAAGAGGAGTTGGTATGAAAAGCATTTTATAGAGGCTGAATGTCTCAGGAGTAAAGATGGGCAGAGGGTTTACCAGCCCGTCAACACCTCTCTGCCTCGCTGATGGTATGGGGTTGCATTAGTGCCTCGGGCATGGCAGCCTGCATGCCTAGAAAGTCTCCAGAATTCAGCATAAAATCCTGCATAAACTCGTGCAGAACCAGCTTTTCAAAGCCATGTTGCTGCTGTAAAATTCTAAATACAATACCATTAGTTTCAATGTTTGAGGAGTTTACTCTGTTTCATTATAAATATATTTTACACAGCTTTCCAGTCTTTGAGGGTGTAAATGAATTCAGTCCCGGCTGGAAGAAAAGAGGAGGAAAGTGAAAGAAAGTATGAATGAAWGGCTCTGACACGCCTCTAAATAAAACCAACATCTTTATTCTACAGGACTCTCYTCCAGAATCATTTCAGGGACAAACAAGAATATATACAAACATTTCCTGTGGCGGAGCGTACAGACCAGGATCACCAGGTCAACTTTAGAAACATGCAGGTGAGGAAAACACGCCGGTCGGTTACAGACAGTAAAGTCAGGACGGGAGGAGAGAGGGAGCAGTGGGTCCTGGTTTATTTCTACAAAAATAAAAATAAAATCAATAAACTGAAAATATATTAAAAAAAAGAGTCCAAATGTTCCAGCACTTCATAAACAAGATTTCTTTCCAAAAGTCTTTGAGAGTTGTTTTTTCCTCAGGAACAGAGAAACGAAGCCCCTCCCCCTGCGCGCGGTCTCTACGCTGTTTATTTTATTCATTCAGGTAGTCTCATTGGGACATGAAGACTACAGCGGGGGCGCCGAAGCTGCTCCTGTTGCTGATGTCAGCAGGCAGCGACGCCACGCTAGCTCGCGTCCCATTGGTCACTCTCCCCTCCTTGTCGTCATAGAACGACGCTGCGTCTGGAAGAAGATGATAATGGCCGCTCTGAGCAGGTAAATAAATAAATAAAAAACTACTTCCTGTTAACAGAATCCTACTTTTTCTGCAACTGTGACACGTGCTGAGACATGGAACAGCATGCAACACTGGAAACAAATGAAAATGCAACAACGCACACATTCTGCATGCACACACACCACAAACACGTCCTCTGACCTCTGCATGATTGTTAAAGCTGGATTATTGTGTGAGGGTGAATAAAACAACAGGATGTGTGTGTGTTAGGAAAGGGATGATTATTAAATGATGAAAACTAAACTCTGGATCTCACTGGGCTGCAGCTGATGGAGGGAAACAGGTGAAGAATGTTTGAAACCAGGCAGAACTATTCTGGGCCGAGATCAGTACTTTGTTGCACACCTTCACCCTCGTTACCCACATGCTCATGAGTTCATCTCCTGGAGGACAACTTTGAGTTGAGCAGAAGCAGATTTGGACCAGCTTGTAACGATAATGTGACTTTTTTTCCTGGTTTTTATTTGTCCAGTTTTACTACTTGTCGATTAAGCTCATTCAGGAAAATATTTCAGCTACCTTTATGCTACTTTGGATAGCAATTTGCTGTCTTTATCTTTTAGCTACTGCTCAGCTACTTTCAGGTCTTCGGTGACCTTCTGCTGTTTTTAACTTTTAGCCAGTTTTGCCACTTTTAGCTTTTTAAACAACCCATTTATTTGAGATTTTAGCTATCCTTACGCTACTTTTAGCTAATCCATTTGGTAATTAATACTTATATTTAACCTTGTGCTGCTTTTCACTTTTAGATAGGCCTTTGCTACTTTTAGCTTTCAGCTACCACTCTGCTACTTCTAGCTTTTAGCTAGCTTTTTGCCATTTTAGCTTTTTGTCGGCCTTTGGTAATTTTAGCTTTCAGGTAACCCTTTGCTGCTTTTAGCTAAAATTTAGCTACATTCAACTTTTAGATTGCTTTCTTTAAGCATTTACCTACCCCTTTGCTAATTTAGCCTTTAGCTATCATTATGCTACTTTTAGTTAATCTTTTTAGTACCTAATACTTTTATCTAACCTTGTGCTTCTTTTCGCTTTTAGATAGCCCTTTGTTACTTTTAGCTTTCAGCTACCGCTCTGCTACTTCTAGCTTTTAGCCATTTTTAGCTTTTAGTCAGCCTTTGGTAATGTTAGCTTTTAGGTAACACTTTGCTGCTTTTAAGGTTTAGCTTCTTTTAACTTTTAGATAGCTTTCTACTACTTGAAGCATTTACCTACCCCTTTGCTAATTTAGCCTTTAGCTATCATTATGCTACTTTTTTCTACTTTTATTGTAGCTATTTTTTTAC